GGGGGGGTGTTATAGGTTCAGAATTTAAAGTGCCTTATATAAAACATCTACACAAATCTCATTTATATGCCAAATCTCGTTCCATTTGTTGTTAAAGAATATTATGTCATTTTTATCTTTTATCCTTTAACACATCACAGCTGGAAGTAATTTTACAATATCTTTTTAATAAGTTAAAGGGACTGTACGCGTAATTTCAAGTGATCCTTCTTGCAATGCCATATTGGCAACGGTACTCTTTAAACCTTCGACTCATCCTTGATATGTTTCAATTTATATTTGTATTCTCTAAAGGACTGCAGACGTGTAGAGGGGTATGTCCGATCCACTGCTGTCCCTGCAGATTCGTAATGTCAAGAGTAAATGAAATATCAATTTTCTTAACCTACTCGTAGATCAAGAATTTTTTTGAATTTTAATTTTAAATTGCGAATTTCTGCTTGCAAAACGAGAAGGAAAAAAAATGGGCACCTTAAAGAATCGGACATGGCCCTCTTTAAATGGAGGGTCACTTAAAAATAAAAACAATTTTTTTGTTCAGTCTTCATGTTTTTAAATGAAAATAAAATACATTTGAAAAATGAGCTAACCATGGGAAACGATATGAATTTTAATCTTGGTAATTGCTATTTGAACTGGTTTAGAAAGTCTCATCTTTTGTGACATCAAAACCATTTACATTTGATTTCGTGTTTCAGGAACATTATCTGACGTGTCCTTCTAGAGCTCAAGGAACAAAATCTGTTTCACTTAAACTTGAAATCGTGTGCAATCTAGAAAATGGACGCGTTCGGTTTATTCTTAAATTTGTTCATTCATCGTTCGTGAACGACCCATTTTGTTCATAAGAATTAATTTCGTTCTGTTTTGTTTCTTGTTAATTTTTCACCTATTTCGTTCTGTTTTCTCACTTAATGATATTTCAGTAAAATCTTTAATTCAGTTAAAAAAAGATCTTTTTTCGATGTTTGTTGAAAAAATCGATCGTTTTAAAAAGTCTGTTATAAAAAATCGTTCAGTAAAAAAACTACTGTTTTCTAAAGTTCACTAAAACGATCCAAGTCATTCGTTTTTTTCTGAATGACACCATCGCTTACGAAATATTTTGTTCGTTATTAAAAATTATCCCCATCTCTACTCCTATCAGAAGTTTCTACAATATAATGTAAAATAAGCAATACTCTTTTAACCAATGTGAATAATTTATGAATGTTCATTTTTCTGCATCTGTTGCACGACGCCGATTAAGAGAGGAGATTTTTAAGCTTGTAACGTTAATTTTGTGCAATGTTCGCCTTTTTTTTTTTTTTTTTCTGAAACCGATATTTTCTATGCAGTGATGGTTGAGTACGAGGTAGGTATTAAAAACGCCATATTATAAAGATATATTAAAATTAAAGATTTAATACCAACATCCTCTACAAGTACCAGTCCAATTCTACGCTAAATCTTACAAAATTTTACTTTGGTTTCAAAATGGAATTTTCGATCTAGATAAATTGTTTTTTAAATTTATTTCAATGCAGCAACAAATGTTTTGCGTGATGTTTTATTACATGTTTTCATCAACTTTGTCAAATCAAGGGGTGTATTTATGAATAAAGAATAATCCCTAGAATTCAGGTATGTCTTGTATTATTGCTAATATTTTGTGTGTAAAATATTTTAAGGGATGAAAAAAAATTATTAATGTTCTGACTTTTATCATGTTTTTCTAGATCCTGGGGGGGGGGAGGGCAGTTCATTAAATTATATTCTCCCAGGGTTGCGATTTTATTCAGGTATAACAATTAGAATCATCAAGATAATTCAGTTTTTTTCTAAGGAGAGGAGAAAGAGTGGATGTTTGGCTCTACCTAGACCATCCAGTCCACCTCAGGTTAGCAACTTAGATTACTAACGACCGTAACCGTGTTGTCAGCTTATTTATCATTACAGTGTTTGATACTTAGATATTAAAATGATATCACAAATTTTTGAAGTATCTGACAATTCGTTGGGTTTTACACAAACCACTCTTTATTCAATACTGGAAACTATATTAAAATGTTCGTCAGCCTCTGTATTCTGTATTATATCAGCATTTCAGTTAACGATTTTGTATCAATATACAGTCATAATCAGAAAGACCCGGAATTAATTTATGATAAATAAGATAACCTTACAATCTTATTTTACCAATATGATTAAAGAAACGATAATTAAGACAGTCCTGCCAATTCCCATTCGATTTTAGACTTGTTGTGCTTTAAAATTATCGGAGATATAGATGTCTTCTGATTAACTGTCAATTAATTCCGGGTCTTTCTGGTTATGGCGGTACATGCTGATTGCTGACCACTATCAAAATTCGATATTGTTGTTAAACACTAAACAGTAATAAACTACATAAAACATAGTTGATGCCTTTCAGAACAGAGGTTAACACTTATATTCAAGATGATGCTTACACACATTTACTGAACTTTAATTTAAATATTTAATAGTAAAAGCTTTGTAAGGTTTAATATCTTGAATAAATTGTAAATCCAACACGAGCTATTTAAAAATGCTCAAAGTAAACTGATATTAACCAACAAGGAGGACCCGGCTGAGTTTGTTCGAGTTCAGATTTGAAATATTAATGTGTTAACCTCTAGTCCCCATAAGAGGGTTTGTAAACAAAACTCAAATTTAATTTCAATTTAAAACTGAACTGTAGGTAACATAGTTTTACCAGGGATGGGCAATAACGGGGTTCTTTTTTCTAACACTAGTAATTTTTTTGCCCCACACATTTCTTTTCTCGTCAAAGGGTTCCAACATTTCAAAAAACTAGATTCTGTTGTTTTCATTTATCAAATTATCTAAAATTTGCATCATCTGAAAAAAATATTGGGAAAAACAACCCCTCAAATAAACAATCTTTTTTTGGTTCTTTTTTATGGTGGGCAATTATATCAATGCAATGAAGACGACTTTCGATTTCAATTTTGAAATATATTAAGCTGTCAAACAGCATGGATACACATAAACTTAAGTTAAGAGAAGCTGTCAATTAAAGAAACTTCTCTATTATTTTTTTAAAACATGAAATTTAAAAAAGCTTGTTAACAATCAAAACTTGAATAAAAAGTCGTCTTCATTGTATTGACAAAATAGCTTACCTCTGTTTATAGCTAGTGCTGGATGAGGACTGGGGTGAGGAGGCTGACCGGAGCAACAGGGTCAGCTATGACCCACAGAAAGCCATCGAGAAGAGGATGGTAGGATCATTTTACAAAGTAACACTGAAAAAACAGAAACAAAACCAATTAACATTTAGTATTTCTACTTCATCAGGATTAAAATTTACGTCAGACTATTTAGAACTATTTCACAATCTTGCTTAGAAGCTGTCCATGTCAAAGGGAAATGTCCATATTTCCATACAANGTTACTCACTCTGATTTTTTGCATGCAGGCCTGAATTGTGATCTAGTTTTTGAATGAAACACCAGAGTGGGGAAAAAATAATTTCCCCCCTAATTTTTACCCGCATTTTTCGGGCATTTTTTCAAAAACTTTGTGATAGGTCTATGTGGGATGTGTAAAGTCATTAATATTAGGTCGGGAAACTCAATTCTGGATTTTATAATGCATTTCCCGCTCTCCTTATACCATTTCCCCCCCCCCTTTCCCGCATTTTCCCTCTCCTAAAGGCCAAAGAAGCCTCCTGACTTTAGAGATTTCTGTCTGTTTTTTTTTGCATGCAGACCTAATTGGGATCTAGTTTTTGACTCAAAAACCAAAATAGGAGAAAAATAATTTTTTCCCTGATTTTTCCCGCATTATCCAGTCATTTTTTTTCATAAACTTTACATTAGGTCCATGTGGGGTGTCTGAAGTCATAAACATTGGGTCGGGAAACTCAAATCTGGACTTTATAATCCATTTCCCCCTCCTTTTACCATTTCTCCTCCCCCTTTCCCGTATTTTCCCTCTCCTAAAGGCCATAGAAGCCTCCTGACTTTATTACTAGAGATTTCTCTTTGTTTTTTTTGCATGCAGACCTGAATTGTGATCTAGTTTTTGAATCAAAAACCAAAATGGGTGAAAAATAATTTTTCTCCTGATTTTTCCGTTTTTTTTTCAAAAATTTTGCGTTAGGTTAGATTTGAGTTTCCTGACCCATTGTTGCTGACTTAAGACACTCCACATGGACCTAACGCAAAGTTTTTGAAAAAAAACGACGGGAAAATGCGGGAAAAATCAGGGGGGAAATAATTTTTCTCCCATTTTGGTTTTTGATTCAAAAACTAGATCACAATTCAGGTCTGCATACAAGAAAACAGACAAAAATCTCTAGTAATAAAGTCAGGAGGCTTCTTTCGCCTTTAGTAGAGGGAAAATGCGGGAAAGGGGGGGAAATGGTATAAGAAGAGCGGGAAATGCATTATAAAATCCAGAATTGAGTTTCCCGACCTAATATTATTGACTTTAGACACCCCACATGGAAAGATGACGTGGCTTCTAGAAAACTCCCCTATTCTTCTCCCTGCCGCGAAAGGTTCTTCCTAGGAAAGACGACTTTCATAGCCGCCACAATGTGGACATTCCCCTTTAATTTGTAGACATAAATAAGTTAATCTTTGAAACTAGTGTTTTAAAGTATTATAACTCAGTTAGCAGTAGCAATCTTACTTATTGCCATTTGACAAGCAAGCACATGAAGAGAGTTAAAAGGCATGAAATGTATAGGAAATCCAATGACTTGTTAAAACTCCTTCAATTGTAGATTCCAGATCTAATCTTTCCCCAGCTAGGTCAGGGTTACTAGCTGGTTAATGTTATAGTACGGTTGGGAAGACAAACAATCCAGCCATGAGCATAAAAGAGTGAAACTGTTATTTTAAAAAAAATTGGAATTTGTCTCACTGAAAAAGTTTTGAAAGTTTATCGGTTTCTACGTTTTCGTCAAGTTTGAATTGACCAATTTCCAATCTCAGGGGTGTATATTATTCCTTTATTTATTTTTTCATAAAAAAATTTTTTGATTTCTTTCTCCAAATTTGAAATTTAAAAATACATCATTTAATATTTATTTATTTAGAAAGCAAAAATGCCGCCGCAGAGAAATTTTTTTTCAAACTTTGGGTAATGGTATGGTGGCAATGGCAAAAAAATTGATTATTTGTCAGTCCAGGGGTATATTTTTTCTTGGGAGTTCATTTGGAAAAAAAAATATAAATGAGCATTTTTTATCTTATTTTGTTATGATAAAAGATCTTCTAATACATTTTTTGCTGCATCATTTTATTGGTGGAAAATATTAATGAAAAACTCTGATTTTAGATAAAGTTATGTAGTTATGTAGAAAGAGCTCCAGCCCTTCCCTTCTTTATACTCTCCTTTTCTTCACTTATTATCTACCAACCTTCCATCGATTCTCTTCCTTCCTCTTCCTTGCGTCTCATTTACTTTCTACCCTTCCTTCCTTTTACCTTCCCCTTCTGCTTCCCTTCCCTGTTCCTTCCGTAGTTCCCTATATTCCTCTTTCCCTTTCATCCTTCCTCATTCTCTCTAAATTTCCCTTTTCTATTTCAAGCTCCCCTTTTCCCTCTCAATCTTCCCCGTCCCTACTTTTCCTCTTCCCTACCTATTCTCTCCCTACCTTCCCCCTCCCTAACTCTCCCCCTTACCCACCCTTACCTTTTTTCCACTATTACCAGGTTCCCCTTTTCCCTTACTTTTTTCCTTTCGTTTTCCCCTTCCCTTTTTCTCCCCTTTTTCTTTCCCCTTTTCCGAAAAAATCTGAGAATTTTTATGATTCACTGTTTTTAATAAAACCAAATTTCTTGTTAGATCACGCACTGTCAATTGTTTGAATTTCAAAGTTTGAGGAGCTACAATGTCACAATGTCCTGCTAGTAATATCGCACAAATTTGACGTTCTTCTTCTGTCTATTTATGTGCTCTGCAGGGCTTAAAGTGTAATTAAAGGATATTCTCTAATGTTACTCCTGTATTAAGGTACTGAGATCTTTGCCGAACTCGACACGATCTCAGAGGTAAAGAATTTTTATTTTTACTAAGATACATCCGGCGTTCTTTTGCTTTTAACCTAAAATTTGTTGAGGGATGTGGCACTCTTATAATTTCCTGTAAAGAATTTTCCGAACTATGAATCGATAAGAGAATCTATAATGTTTTCCTGAAATTTTGGTTGCTTTCTCTGATTCTTAAAAAAAAAAAAAATTCTCATGTTTTTTAACCACGTACAACGCCTCTATTTTGCAGAGTCTGAAGCTATAATAATCTAACCATACATCTAGCAATAGATAACTTTTAACCACATCAATTTAAATACAAATGGAAATTCTCTATGATTCTCTATCTGATGATTCGGATCTAAATTGAACTTAATCATGGTTTCAAGTAATGTTAAATTGTTATTTTTTCTTACAATAATTTTGTGATTTTAAGGAATGAGTTCAAGAAGGCGGAGAAGGAAAGGTTGTCTAATCTTCAGGTAAACACTAACTGCTGGGTAACATAGAAACAGGGGTATTAATTTTCCATCATTTTTCATGCCCCGAAAAAAAATGAAAAATTGGACAACAACTGACAAGTTTTGCCACCCTTTCAACACTTTATGTAGGGTCTAAAAGTCGTGGTTTCACTGATATTTTTATCGAATGAAAATTTTCAACAACAAAAAAACCTACATTTTTCATTAAATATTTTTAGCTGTCATGCTGAAATCATTCAGGGATATGGAAGTTTTTAATAATTTAAACTGTCCGTCATTTAACGTTTGGTTGTCTAGGAGCAAATGGAGAAGGAAATGGAAAAGGAGAAGATGGAGACGAACAGAGTTAAGGAGAAATTCTACGGTGAGATTAAATGTATAACTTATCTACAAAAATAATCATTTGATATATTGTGGAATCAGGACGCTTCGCACCCCTTTTCTAGTGAACATCCTAACTTTTAACTGTTTCTTTTTAAGTCACCATTTTTATTATTCTATATATACATATATAGCTGGAGTGCCATGCGTTGCTAGGTTTACATTATATTCATAGTCAAAGTTACTTCCTCCATTTACTCACACTTAGTATTAAATCATGTTCCCGCCTTGCATTATAAATTTCCAAATTTGTTTAACTTTTGTCACCCCTAACCCATGGGTTCACAGCTAATTTGGTCCAGCCGTTTGGCCAGTCAAAGCAAACATATCAAGATTTATATGCAGGGTTACCCACTAAGGATGAGACTTAAGAGACTTGCACGGAATTTATACTGCGTTTTCTTACATTCGTCGTTCCCTGCAACCGTAAACTTGTTTTTTTCTTTGCCTTAATAAGCCATTAGAATACTAAATTATGGCAAAAAAAACATGATTTAACCTTGGGACCGTCACATTTAAGAGTTTCCGGTCTTCACAGTCTCGTCCTTTGTGGGTGACCCTGTATGTGAGCGAAGATAATAAACCCTCAAATAATAATAAATAATTGTTTCAATGGAAGGGGTTGGTCGGTTTTAAAAGATATACCTGAAAATTAATTTCTACCCCAGATGATATTGAAGGTTCATCTGCTGTAACTTCTGTTGCTAGCCACGGCGCTGGCGGAGGCCTGCTCTCATATTACAGGAAACCTTCAGTTTTTATTCAGCATTTTTATTTTAAAAATGGTCTGTCAGCTGTACTTTAGTTCCCATTAATTCTTAATGTTGCAGAGCTGAAAACTTTAGAATGAGATATCCTTAATCACGATCCCTTAATCTGATTACCCAATGTACACACTCCTGATTTTCTTCTTATAATCCTCTTTTTGGATATTTCTACGGTATAAATGTTACGTTTAATAACAGTTACAGATACAATGCTATATCGATCGGACTTATAATTGATTTCACAAGCCGGCTTTTAGAGCATTCAAACAAGTGTAAATTTAATCATGTTAATATGAAATTATTAAAAAACATATTTTAGGACTATTGTCATTTTGAACGTAGTTCTTAATAAACATTAATCTAAAACTTACGTTCAGTCAATCGATGTTTAGGCCAATTGATATGAAACCATCAACACCAGAAATCAAAACCGGTTTTTCTTTTCAAAAGTTTAAGAGTACATCTTAACATGATACGCTGATTGGTTAAATTTTAAACTTCTTTCTTGGATATCGAATGCGTATTAACATAATCTAAGGTTTATTAAAACCAAGAGTTAAAGCATTAATCTTGATATCCACCATTCTAAAGTTTTAAGCTCAGGTCTGATTCACAATAGAATCCTTTGTTCGAGGAAAAGTGAAGAACACTTGGGTTTTTTTTTGAAAATTGACAATTTTAACTACAAAAGCTACTTGGAGATTCATTCAGGGAGACAATGAAGGAAATTTACATAAAGTTAATAAACGATAATTTCTTCCTCATTGTTACTCAGATAATGGTTTAAAGGGTGCTGTTGTGAACTTGACATATCTTGGCCAGAATGGTTTTTACAGTGTAAACAAGTAACTAGTTATAACAACATCAAATACACAAAAGATTGTTAAAATGACGTCTTCCTATTCCACATTTTTGTGGGTTTCACTGAAGTATTCTTAGCTATTGATAATAAATTAAAGGAAGGTTTCATTTACAGTAAAATGATGAAGAAGAACTAGAATGCAGACCGCTGGTACGAGTTTTGTACACTTTACTCTCATCATGAAAACATAAATATGTTTGCTCTTTGTTTAACAAAATTCTGTAGCATATGTTTATTTTCAACAAATAAATGATCAGCGCATTTCCTTTGTTTTTCTTCTACAGAATTTCATGTGAAATATTTGTGCTGTGTCAGTTCAAGTGAAGTAGATGAGTCTGGGAGAAACAATAAAAACGAAGCGTAATCTTTCTTCCATTCTATAAGATTTACCTAGAACTTGTTTTTAATGAATCGTTTAGATTGATCATTAAAATGTCCATGATAATGGCAAATGGGAACTGGGATCTAATACTAAATGTGATCTTCATTCTCCATCTTATGGAGACCTTTCGATTTTTCTATTTTCTCTTCGATTATCAGTTGCAGGATAAGATGAATTGAATCGAATCATTTATTCTTATGAGCGCCCACAGTGAAGAGAATGAGATCAAGCGTTCCAGGTTATCTACACTTCATCTCCTAAGGTTAGACCTTAAACTCCGATTTCTTTATCTTATCAGCGTGTGTGGGAGGGGGGAAATAATGTATGTATTGTTTGTCAAAACAAATATTATTTGGAGCTGTGTATAGAATAAGATTATTAGTGTAGATTATGTTATTTTGTTTTTATCTGGTACAAGCCAACTAGTCTTCCTAGCCAACAAACTTTTTTCGTTTTTTATTTTAAATGTTGTCAACAGATTTATTAAATATTAACGCTTAACTCTGTAATTCATTATTCAAAACTGTGAACAATTTCTTTTCTGGTTGACTCATGGTTGACAGAATGATTGAGAATTAACTCCAAGAAGTGAGGTTGGGAACGGTTCTCCGGAGCACCTGGAGAGACTGCACAGGAACGTATCTGTTACGAACTCTGTGTAAATGTTCCGTATAAAATTTCCTGCAACAGGACCCAGTAACCCATTCTGCTGCACCATAGTATCCAGGTTTACCAGTCTAAAAATTTATCCATTCATTAATATATACAATTAATTATTTGGTTTATCAAATTCAGGGTTTGCATATTGCAAGAATAACCGAGAAACTCGTTTATTAGTTACGAGAGTTAATTATTATCTTAATGAATAGATGTTCACTAACAAGGCTTACTGACCTGTCATTAACAGTATTCCTGTAACACTCTGATTTGGTTTCCACTGCCAGGTTTATTTTCTGTTTGTAAACCAGGAAAAGGTGGCGCTGACCGTATAAGGGATCGTTAACAACTTTTCCGCCACGATGCCGAACTGTCATACTAAATAATAGTTGGAATTATAAATAACTTTGTCTCAATTAGCACTTGGAGTCACTTTTATAAAAGGGTGTTCCACGAAATGAGAAAGTAGAAAGTAAAAAGACCACATTTTCGAAATGCAAGCACTACGGGTATTTTGTAATTATTAACTCTAAGATTTTACTTCTAAAATTAGGGTTACTAGTGAATGCTGCAAATCTGGTTTAAAATTATTGCAAATCTGAATTTAGAACATGAAACTCAAATTATCAAGTACAATAGGTGGCAACGCAGAATGTGAAGACTCTCAGTTCAGCTGTATGTACAGGGCGTCCCACCAAACATGACAGTTGGTAAAAAGTTTAGAATGTCTTCTTCCAGAACTTTTTGAGTTGTTTAATAGGAAAGACAATAATAAAAATATTATATAAGAATTAAATAATAGTAAAATTAATTCCAAAGTAAAACATATTCGAGCAAAAGATAAACTGCTAAAAGCCTTTAATATCTGATACAGTGTATGGAAGACGACATTTACCAACATTTGGTTCATGGGACACCCTGTATCATTCTAAATTAAAGTGCTTATCAACTATTGCAATAATCGGAGGAATTTTATGTGTTCTTTATTTCCTGTTTTTACACTTTTTCATTTAAAGGGTTTGAAACTGATATTGTAAATAACCATATAACATTGTAATTTGGACATATTCGGGGAAGCCCTCTAGAAATGTTTAACCAAGATTAAACCCCCAGGTCCGGGGGAAAGGCAGGAAAAAATAAACGGTAGTTTTCTAATGAAATATCGTCTTTAAAGTAATTTAAATTTTTTTCTCAAATGTTTTATTTCATAATATTTGGGAACACATAAAAAACATTTAAAAAATAGTGTTTGAATTATGAAATTAATGTAAATAATATGTACAATGTTATGTAATGTACAATGAGACTGTAAATCATATGTACAATGTTATGTAATGTACAATGAGACTGTAA